GACCTCGATTTATACGGTCTCATCCGAAGGAACGGTCTCCACGTCCCACAGTGGGATTGGATCCTGCGACGTAATGATCAGCTCCTAACTCTGCGACTCTAGAGCGAATGCTCTAACCACTGCGCCACGCGGACGACTTTTTTTACGAGTGAGCAGAGGGTTTATGAAAATTACTATGCTTACTTTGTACAAATTCCACAAGAATATTATTTGTCGATGACACAAAAAGTTTGTTATTCTTTTATGTGAATTATACGGAAGCCGGTAGGTGCCAGGTAGAAAAATATTTTATCTGGCGGCCGCCAGATAAATAACTGGCGGCCGCCAGAAACTTATCTGGTGGCCGCCAAATAATTTTCTGGCGGCCGCCAGATAACTTTCTGAGGCCAGATAATTATTTGGCGGCCGCCAGAAAGTTATCTGGCGGCCGCCAGATAAAATATTTTTTCTACCTGGCACCAACCGGCTTCTGTAGAATTATGCATATTATTAATTAATATAGACGTGTTTCCGCAGATAATGGTAGGGATCATATATCTAAAGCAGGAAATTAAATATGTTTAATGGGAAACTTTAAGTGAATAATGCCATGACATATTTTTTTTTATTTTACCAAATAAAAAAAAAAGAATAAAATCGGCTGTGAATATATCATCTTTACAAAAACGTGTTACATGTATTTCAATGGACGGAGGATATGACTGAATCCTATCTTAACCAATGTAAAGAATTTAAAATAAATCACGCATGTATTAGATGTATTTTGATTTTTCAGCACTGGATTCAGATGGCACCTGTAGCAGTGATAGTGACTGTCCGCTCTCATTTTATCATTGCTGTTCCGGAAATATCTGGTGTTGTCCTTCCGGGTACATTTGTACCGGAACTGCAACCTGTATTAGTATCGGGTACGTATAGATTTATTAATACAAACTGTGATGTTAAATATCTTGCTTATTATAGTTTCTTTTTTTCTGGGTGTAATTTTTGTGCTAAGACCACTCTTGACAATCATTTCAAAATTTAAAAAGTTATCCAAAGATAATCATGTACACCGTACCAGTAGGAAATGTTCATTTTGTGGTTATATTTTGACTAACACTAATGTACATCAAATTTACGTACGAGAGAGAGAGAGAGAGAGAGAGAGAGAGAGAGAGAGAGAGAGAGAGATTGCTAAATAATCGATTAAATGAAATGTCTTCAGACGTAGATTATCTTCATTTTTTTTAATGATACATATGGTTATGTTTCTATCAGTGTAAAAAAAGTGATTGTCAGCATACGATGTAGAATTAAAATTGATCAAAATGCTTGTGCTTAGCAACAATTAGATTCGCCCTAATACAAAAATATTTTCTATAAACTGAGGTTAACGCTAGATGGTACAATGTACAGGTAGGCGAACACGAGTTATCTTTCCCCAAGTGTGCAGATATGGAATATTCGACATGTGATAAAATATACGGAAACTTAAATATTTCTTTCACTTGCAATTTACAATGGGTAATTATATATTAAGTCGTACTCTCAGAATCTCGAAGAGACGTTAAACAAACAAACAAACAAATATCTAATATTAATCTAATACCTGTCAAAAGTAGGTAGAGAAATTATGTGCATTGTTTAGAAATCTATATATTTGTATTTTAGATGGATAAATTTTAAAATCATCCGAAATCAACTAGCGTATAATGTACCGGCCTGTCAAAAATAGCTAGATAAGTAGGGAGTAGCGAATAGCGAGGAATATAAGTTGATATGCCTGAGTTTTGTGAGAAAATAAATCTTGGCGCTAAGTTGGATGTTCAGGTAAAATAAAGAACAAAACTTTGAAATAAAAAAAAGTTAGAAAATATAGGCAGATTTCTTTGTAGTTGATATAGGTACATGTGAATGAGTATTTTATTAAATTAAAAAAAAATGATTTCTAACTTACAAGTAGAGTCGACTAAATATATTGATTCATCTTTAAATTATGGTATCACACATTTGATCTAGCTGATTAGAAATATGTCGCATTCCACGTGTTTAATGCAATTTAAGTTACTGCTTACACTGTGGCTCTGTTCTCAATCCTTAGTCAATCCTCTATCAGGGTTGGATTGGGTGAATAAATGGGGGGCGGTAATCTAAAGGTAGCCTGTAGACATATGTCTTTTTTGCATGTCCACGTGTAACGATACGTGCCTGTTTCCACCCGATAATAATACCCCCCCCCCCCCCGCCCATTCTCTATTCTTTGCAATGCACATAAACATCAAATTGCTTCAGTCGAAATACAAATAAATATTGAAAGTAAATATATCTGATAATATAGTTCAACGAATTTTATTCTGATTTCAAATAAATCCACGATTGTCAACAATTAATTAATTTAAATTGATACATTGTTAATATAGACTGGCATTTCGACTTTTTTTTCGACTTTTACATAGACTTAATATATAATTACCCATTGTAAATTACCAGTGAAATAAATATTAGCGAGCTCAATAGACTAACGTGTAAGAACATAGGCAATTTGGAATGAAATCTATACATTCGTCAGGCAAATTTTCTTGTGCAACATTCCCAGAATTCCTTCGCTACCAGGATTCCATGCGAAAGTATTACAAAACATACAAAAGACCAAGGATAATTGTTCTTTACCAAGAGCATCTTCGCTAGCCAAGGGTTTCTGATACGCTACTCTCCTCATAAACCCTTGGCATGCGGTGCTGATAAAAGACGGGATTGTTTTTGTCACGTGATCATGATTCTTACCAGGTACGCACAGATTGCGTCATCGACAGAAATAAAGAGCGTATTTAAAAAAATTTTGTTTTTAAAGAATAACAAGAAGGTATTGAGTTATGTTAATTTGTTATTTAAACATGTAAAAATGCAAATCTACATCTACAGTATAGATTCTTAATCACATATTTTGCACGTTGCTTTAGAAATGGGATGACACCATATTGCTATTCATAGAATGGCATGTTATCTTACGGATCATTGTTTACTTGCGTTTTACATAACCGATATTAAAGAGTCAAGATATATCCCGAACGCAAATATCGTCATTTACAAAAAACAATTGCTGATTGGTCGAACGATGTCGATCAACTCCATTCACAACTTGAGAAAAAAATCCCAACTTTTTTTAACACCATATGCCAAGGGCTGTTGAGGGGAGTAGCGTATCAGAAGCCCTTGGATAGCGAAGATGTACCAAGAGATACGTTTATTTTTCTTTCTTTGTAGAGAGCTTAAAAGAAACAAAAAATAATTGCATCTACTCTTCAACCTATTTCATTAAATATTGCACAAGACCTGTAGTCTCGTTCAACCAAACGCACGGCTGTCTCCGTAAATTCCGACTTCATGTCACGTCAGTCTAGACTGTGTCTCGTGCGGTTTGAAGTTTGAAGAGGCGGATCAACCTTACAAGTGTAAGCTGTGTATCAACTGCGCTCGCCCCAAACGGTCACACCGTAAAACATATTATTTAAGAATATTTCATTTATTTCCGTATATATTATCACATGTCGAATATTCCATGTACGAGTGAATAAATCCGCACACTTAGGAAAGATAACTCATGTTCGCCTACCTGTACATTGTACCATCTTACGTTAACCTTTATAAAATGGCTAAGCTCTCAGTCCCTAGATCCATTATTGATGAAATTAGACTTCACATGTTCTGGGATTTGCAAATATTTTCAAAGGTTAAACTCTCTTATGTATACATTTATAGGACTAATATAAAGCATAAATAATGTGTTGCTATCGACTTTCCTTCCAGAGCTATCGTTGGTCCTATCGTCGGATTGATCGCTATCATCGTCTATGTCGTCGTTTGCTGCATCTGCTACAGTAAGTTAGAGTTATTCGTGTGATAATTTACATTCGATCCTGATTGTCTTTGATTAAGGAGACACGCAACTTGATTCTTTTTTATCTGGTGAATTTTATGCATATGTAAAAAGTAAGAACTATTATATACGGTTATAACTTTGAGTATATTTATAGTTACTTTAATGATCAGTTTTCAAACGATCACACTTTAAAAACACAATAACAAAAATTTATTCCTTCCATCCATCATATAAATAAAGGAATCGTTGTTGAATGGAAGAATGGGAAGTTGTTTTAAACAATATTTCAGATTTCTAATTTTTGTTGGTTCGTGATTTGTTGTAAATATTTGTCTTGCCACATTTCAATCGATAACAAGTACTTATCAATAGATTTTGAATTAATGTATAGGGAAGATGACTTTCCCAATTCCTTTTTAATTTGTATATTAAATATTGTTTAATTATTTATTAATTACTCCTGTTGACACCTGTCACATCTGTGCTTTCACACCCTGCTGGGTAAGACTCAGACCTGCAGTGCAGTTCTTTGCTTTTACTGGCATTGGCACTGTTGACAATACCCAGATGTATGCACCTATCTAGGGTACTGATACTTTCGTATGATAATTAAGCTGCGGTTAATTACAAGGACTTCCGATGGTCCCCCACTTCATTCTGACCAATCACAAGTCTTCTATTTCTAGTACCCGGTATATCAGTTGAGGAAAACAATGCACTTGTCAATTTTGAATTTTTTTTTTTTTTTTTTTTTTTTTTTTTTTTTTTTTTTTTTTTTTTGCAAGAGCAAGGCCTTTTTGTACTTTTGTCCCGCCTGCCCTCCTCTCACCAATATTATATGCTTAGTTGAATTTTTAGATTTAGTTAGTTTGTTAGTTAGTTTTTGGAGCATGGTTTTATTCCTCATTTTTCAATTTGCTTACACACATTATTATGTAATGTTTCATAATCTACATGTGTGTTCAACGAAATAAAACCATGGATTCATTTCACCCAAGCCTCTCTTACATGTTTTTATTTCTAATGCATCAACTGGGCTAATTCTTATTTACATACAGGAAGAATTAATCATTTATATAATAATAAATTTTACCAGAAAAGAGACAACAGACACCGGGTGTTGTTTACAATCCTCAAACAACTCAACCTGGCTACGGACAACCACAGGCTTATGGACAACCACAAACATACGGACAACCACAACCATATGGACAACCGCAGGCGTACGGACAACCATGCACCGGCAAAAGCTTAAATATTGTATGTCAACGAGAGAGAGAGAGTAGAGCCATAAACATATATTTTTACATTTATACTTTGTATTAAAGGTCATATATTATGTTAATTACATTGAAATATTAAAAGTCTTTTCTTTATTAAATTTGCATGTACATTGCCTTAAGAATTTTATATTTGTATGTACTTGTTACTCAAAATTTTAATTCCATATTCACCATTAACATATATTCATGAAATATATGGAGATAACGAACAGTATTCAAGATCAAAAGTCCATTAAACATTACAAAATAGGAGCAGAGCAAAACTTGTATTCAAAACTTTAGTTTTTAACCTACATATTTTGCAAACAACCATATTAGGGAAATTTTTTATTAAATATTGTCAATGTGTCTGATAAAAACATAAAATAGTATGTGATCATACAGAATATTCTTGAAGGAGATGGGCGAACAAGGCGTGCAAAATGCTTGCAGCTTCAAAAGAATAAAAATCATATTCAACTTGTGAATTTAGCATTTAGATAAAGTTCATTCTATTGAAAGGTAAGAAATTATAATTATGAGAAACTTCTTTCGGCAAAAATTATTCTATGACTTAAAAAAGGTGGTATTCTTGGGATTCGAACCAAAGCAATAAAAAAACCTTGATATCATTTTTTTGTCTTAGAGACTAACACGCTTACCACTACCACAACAAATAGACGAATAGAGGCATTTACATGCAATTTACGTTTGTGACATGACCCCTGAGAAAATGAAATTCAAATATTTCTCTGAAAGATATACTGTACGTACCTGTGTCAAGAAAGTGTATTTATAAGGTACAGTGGGTCTTTGTTCCATGTTTTTGTTAACCGAAATTTGTATATTTTTACACATATTTTGAGGATAAACTTTGAAAAAAATTGGAGCGAAGACCCTTTCATATATATATATATATATATATATATATATATATATATATATATATATATATATATATATATATATATATATATATTATAGTATGAAAAAATGATTAATTTTGATCTTCTTAGTGTGTGTATGCTATTTTATAGACGAATTCTTTTATCTTTGTGAGATAAAGTATACATTAATGTTCAATCAAGTATCAAAGAAAATTGTGCTACAATTGAGATTTAAATTTTCAGTTTCTTATTTGTCGCATGCCATAGGTATTTTTCTAGCTCGCCTTGTCCGCTCATCTCCTTTTTTAAAATTATTATTATAAAAGCTCATCTATGACATGTGAAGAAATCCATTTTACAGAGAAGTTTTAGAAATAAAGATTTGTTTCTTAGTTTGTTGTCGTTTTAGTAATTTATCTGCCCCCCCCCCCTCCCTCCTTCTGCCTGTCTTCTGTATAATCCACGTTTTGTTGCTACTAAATATTTTTTAAACTTTCTTGCATCTTAATTTAGACTGCTTAACTAATTTCAAATTTATCTTAACAATCACTTGGGAATAAAAATAAATGTTGTGATATTTTTGCCCCTCCCCCCCCCACCCCTTACCCTTTTTCTTAGGAGGGATATTAAAGAAATAAAATAAGTATATTTCGTTTAAGTTTTCTTCCTTTTTTGGACATATACATGTACAGGGTGTTTCACAATATATGTCACAAATCTAAAGGCAGAAAGAAATATTACAACAAAAGCTAAATAAGTATTTTATATATCATTTTCATCAGCAGATATTCAAAATTATTATTTTATTTTAGAAGTATCCGATATTCTCCATTTCAGTTTCTATGGCAACGATTTCCTAAAATGTTATACTGAAAGTGTTTTCCTTACCATTGTCCTAAATAACTTAATAAAAGACTTGTGTTTCAGAAATTTCTGACCACTGCTTTGTACGTTTCACAGAATACTTGACAGATTTCTTGTTTTATATCTAGCTTTTTAGAACCCCCAAAAGTGCAGATTTATTTTTGTATTTAAAGATACATTTAAATAAATGTGTCATTTCAGAACTATTGGTATACTACTAGTGTTGTCCACTTCTTTCGCTCTTCCTTTCAATCAATCTTGCAAACTTCAGCCAACTCTGAATGTCAGTTGGTTTTAAATGCTGCAATGCTGAAATCTTGTATACAGACACACTCAATTCAAATCGAAGATTTCTAGATACACTTGATACACTTGCATTGTCACAATCCATTTCCCTAAACTTGAGCCAACTGACTTTCTTGAGGTTTTCTCAATGATTGACTTCACTTTGACTATGTTCTCATTTCTTCTTGATGTTTTTGGGAAGGCCAGGATTTAAACTGTCTTTCAACTTCACATTATATTTTGTTCAAACTTCTTAATTATCCTTAATAAATGAAAACTAAACAGTGCTTTCTGGTCAGGATATTTTTCTTCATCACACCCTGTACTATATTTAGGATATCCTGCTTATAATAAAAGTTTACAAATTCAAATTTTTGTTGCTAGTTGTACTCCATTTTGAGAACAGCTGAAAATTTACATTACTGATTACATCATCATTGACCTCATGATATTATGAGTTTCCTGATATTTTGAAATATCATGATTTTACATTAATATGATTGTCTGTGGTGTTTTGGTATTTTTGGAATCATGCTTGATATTCAGATTATGTCCATTTAGATGAATGACATATATTATGAAACACTCTGTACATGTTGCAACAAAGTGTTCGCATGATAATGATATTTAGAGAGCTATCCACAGGACTTGCTAAGAACTACATATTAAATATTATTCTCAAATTTACCTTTTAACAAATTCTTTCCAGTCCTACCGTAATGAAGCACCAAATTAAATTTTACCTGTTCTCCTGTGGATACTACCGAATTGTACTATATATATATAGAAAACACAACTAGGTTTGGCATATTGCTACATGAATAACTTATGTATCATGAACATATGTAATAAAGACTTCGTCATATACTTTTTCAGATATATAGCAAGTAGAAAGGCTCCCCTCTTTGATTAAAAAAAAATTAACATTTTAAATCTTTGCAAATCAAAGCCACTGGTACAGTGTACATGTAATCCAACACTCCATATTTCACTTCCTATTCAAATCTCTAGCTTACTTTTACTAGAAATAAAACAAAACACGGAATATACATGTATAGCTAAATTTTCCCTTCAAAGGGGGAACAACTCTTCCTTCCTTTGCATATTGACACCTGCGACAGTATGTGCCGAGATGGGTTTATTCCCTCTCCCTGCAGAATGGGCAACGAAGTGTACCTTACATATTGGCACATATTGCAGTCGACGAGGATATTTGCTGCCAGCATCTGCATATTTTGTCGCCAAAAGTATTGTTGTGAAAATGTCTACTGGGGTCAAAATATTTTGATTTTAAAGATATGATTAAAATCAAAGATTTTACAGGGAAATGGGGATACGTATCAAAAACATCCAGTAGTTTCTTACATGTATTACACGCCATTCTGTTTTCTTCCGTCATGTAAGTCCTCCCTTTCTATCCTCGAATCCATATATATGTACATGTAATAAGTTTTATTATGTATTTCCAGACAATTAAAGAAAAAAACGCAACCCAGTTGAATTATCGAGGGTCTCGATTTTGAGTACTTGATGAAATTTTAAGTCTCCTGAAAGAAAAAAATACAATGTACCGAGCAGATGCCTATTTTGTAAATTCTACAGACAGGTTTGCATGACAATGGAACAAATGCACACCCGGTCCTTTAATCAAAAACTTCCCTGTTTAACGATAAATATGTTTATGTTTACAAGCTGTTTAAGAAATTTAATGCAAGTAAGCACGTCAACACAGTGTTATGCTATATCTCCTATTACATGTAGTTTTGTTTTCATTCATATAAGAAAAACCCACATACTTTTAAATATAATTTATTTCTGTAAGATTCATTCCAAGACAATATGTTTTGTTACAATATTGTAAAAACCATGCAAAATAAATAGTTTAAGGCAAATAATTCGTTCATTTCATATGTAAGCTGCATTCGAAATGTAATGTACCGAATGCAGTCCTAATCATTTGATAGCCATTTTACATTTAATTTAAATGCCTTCTTCAAAACAACTTAAAAAACTTTGGAGGGTCATAAACTCACAATAAGGCTAACTAGAGCTCTATGAAAAATACAGAATAAATACATGTATATGTATTATATCTATAGGCACATATATTTTACATGTACATCTCTCCCAATAAATACGTAAAATATTTTTTTTACCAATACATAACTTCCATTGCTACATCAAGAAAAATCCAGTAAAAATAATTATGTAGATGTATCAAACAAACAGAGCGACATGCAATATAATCTTCAAAGTTTACCATATTAACTTTTATCAGCTGTTTTTTTTTAATTGATCGAAACTCCTCTTTAGAAACATATTTCTGAAGTGGAAAAACAACCTAATAAATATCCGGGTTCAAAATTATATTTCAAAGTTTATTACTACGCAGATAAGATGACTGCACCTTAAAAATTCCACAACAATGATCCATGTGTACAGGTTATTGCAAAATCAAAATACATTCGCCATTAAGAATCATTATGGATACCTGCAAAATTGTGTTGATGATACTTATATTTTGTTTTATCTACCTTTTTACAGTAACAGACGGTAAGAATTTGTTTTACAGTTTTAATTTATGTTTAAATTTTAATTCATGTTTAATTCAGACTCATTTATCTCCTGTATCTCGTATGTTTATGACCAAGTAATTCATGAAAATATTTAATTTATTGTGATTTAAAAAAAGTAGAAACGTTATTCAAGTTAATTTGTTAGTATGATGTTATTTATTATGGAAAGGTCTGCTTAGTGATACTGGGACAAGAGAATGTTATTTGGGTCACGGAATACACATGGCACAATTTACACAATTTACATGGGAGGGATCAATCATAGCGTATTCAGTGTTATAAATTCCTAGTAACCTACTTCTAACAGCTAGAAATGATTTTGTTGAAATATAATTCTTCGGGAAATTCAAACTGGGTTATTATCGAAGAAAGGGGATAACAAATTTTATTAAAACGTTTCATACTGCCATGTTATTGTAAAAAAGATTTATTACTTTATGCATGTGTAACGTTTTTGCAAGAATAAAACGTTTGTCATTTTTTAATCATGTGTATTATGACAAAATTCATTAGAGAACTAAAATACATAATTATAATTATTACTCTGTTTCTTTAATTGAGTTTGTCATTATAAAAGAATGGGTGCACTTTTGGAACTACATTCTACAAATTCTAATTGTCAAATTGATTTTTTGAAGTGCTATTTTGAAAATGAGTTTTAGTTGAAGACACTGCGCTTAAAGAATTTGTTTAGGAAAATCGATCGATAGATACGTGTATACATGTATTTCCTGATATTAAAAATGTAATTCGCTCTCTCTAATTTTAGATAATTAAAATTTAATGTCTAATAGCCACTCTATAGAAATATAAGGCATATCATTAATCCTACCATCGCATGTTATTGCCTGCAATTCCTCTAGCTATATATCGATTTATACCCATTTTTTCTCTGCATATGATAGGTCATGTCCTATACAATTTTAGCTTATGAGACATGTTACTCCGATAGCCAGTGTCCATTGTCGAGCTATCATTGCTGTACTGGTACAAGATACTGCTGTCCGTGGGGTACTGTCTGTACAGGGACTATCAACTGTATAAGTATTGGGTAAGGAGATTAGCTATATATGTATGTAAAACTAAGATACTTGACATTTTTGGGAGTAGAATATACATGCATAAATCTTATTTTTTAATTCAGATTAGGAATGCATTGTCAAAATTTAGATAATAAAATGACTGAATTAAAGGGTGATTACTCTTTATAGTAAATATCAATATTCAACAGAATCTTCCGTTATAGTAATATGTCTCTTCACAAGGGGGACATAACTGTGTCTTTTAACAGATATTAATTTTTAAATTTATTTTCACGAAGAAGGAAAGAAAAATCCCCTCGGGGAATAAATGTTAATACACAGGTAAAGGTAGATATGCATGAAAGATCTTTTTTTAATCAGGACAATAGTTGGTCCTATCGTCGGAGGAGTGGTTCTTATCATTAGCTGCATCGTATGCTTTGTGTGCTACAGTAAGTATAAACGTTCATCCAACATATACAGAAACAATACATTGTACATTCAGTGATTTATTTGTATAAAGAACTTTTACAATTACAATATTTCTTTGATTTTTTTCATTTTCATTTTCTAAAATGACTTCAAAAGCCTATACTAGCAATCGTTAATCTGAAAAGTATAATGTCTGGAGGGAAAACCGAACCCTTGTTTAACATTTCTTTCTTTTTTCCTTTCTTCTTTCTGTTTTTTGTTTAATTTTGAAACATTATGCACGCAATGGAAAAAGTATAAAAAAAAAAGTAAAAGTAAAAAAAAGAAGGAAGAAAAAGTTAAATATTGCCTACCCGGATGATGTTTTATTCTACTTGTACAGATCGCCGAAGGCGCCAGGTGCCGCCTCCAGCAGTTGTTTACGGACAACAACAGCAAGTAGTTGCAATTGGACAACAAACAACATATGGACAACCTCAGGCTTATGGACAACAAACATATGGGCAACCTCCAGCTTACGGGCAAGGTTACGGACAACAACAGACAAATGGACAAGGTTTCGGTGCACCCCAAGACACAGCAGATAACAAAATTAAGTTGTAGGCAGTGGAAGAAAAAATGATATGACATTGTCATCTATATTAAAAAATACCTATCTCTGTAATCGTGATACGTTACGGTAAAGTTGGACACGAACAAATAATTACTTTGCTTCTCATCAGACAGCGTTGGACAGAGCGACTTTGTTTATCATTTACAATTTATATAATTGTAAATGATAAACAAGGTATAAATGTATATTGCAGTTATAAATGTATATTTTCATTATTATCTCTATGCCAAAGCTACATCATATTTTCGTAAAATCACATCTTGCATCAGCAACATCATTTTTTAATAATCCAATTCAATCCCCAGATCCCCGCTACCAGACTCATATTGAGAGTCGTGGGTTAAAATTCTGTATCACGCCCATAAGACACTTTAACATATGTTGACTTTTGTTTAGTTTTATGTTGTTTTTTTTGTTTTTGTTTTTGTTTTTTTTTTCATTTCATGATACGTTTCCTCTCTATCGCACACACGCATTGTATCACAATCCTATACCTTTTATCCTTATCAGAGGATTTCGCAGTATAAATGCATAAATTGTGAATGAATGGACAGAATGTTTGCACCACTTTTATATTTATATCTGTTCTAAACAATACATTTTACTCATATGTTCATTTATTGCACGAATAAATGTATAAGTATAATGTACATGTAGATCATTGACGTATTTCGGATAATAAAATGACATTGATGTGTTTGTTGTTGGGGCTATTTTAAGACAATATTTTGAAATTTTGATCACTGTGGACGAACGACTAATATTTTCACGCTTATGTTCTAAGTGTTCATTTATTTATTTATTTTTAATAAAATTTATTATTATTTTTTTTAATTAACGATATGTAAAGCTTTTATTCACGAAATGTTTCATTTGGATGTCGCATAAATCTCTGGTACATGTAAGTAATTAAGTATCTCATAAGACTTCAAAGCAATGACCCCCCCCCCCCCCCCGCGATATGACACACACTCAAAATAAAAATTTACCAAGAAGTACGAAGTATGACCACAGTTGTCTCTTATTATAGCAAGACAAGGTTGACTGTGGATATAATATACTATATAAATATTGCATGTAGTTGAGTGTAACATTGAAAATTGTCACCCCAAGAAAACCATTGTCAACCGAGGCGCAGCCGAAGTTGACAATGGTTGTCGAGGGGTGAAAATTTTCAATGTTACACTCAACTACATGTAATATAATAATCTTATACTGCATATTGCATATTTTTATGCAAATACATATTACAGTGAACCTTGCGCGCATGAATTCTGCGCAGTCAATATTTTTTGAAATAACACCCGTCGTCAAGCAATGTTGACTGTTGATACGCTGGAGGGCGTGGCTTCATGATTCAGCGGGTAATAGTGTTTTTAACAAATGTTTCTCGACGAATCAGGTTCAACTAATTTACATGAAAGTATAATATCTCTGAATAGCAGACTGCTTTTTTGCTGCCACGTCTATTGCATAGGTTAATATTGTGTGAAGGAGAGAAGGTTTTGACATCTCTTTTCACCAAATCCTAAATGTGTTGAATGTGACTGAAATCCGAGGATTTTGCTGGCCATGGCATAACGCGGATGTTGTTTGCTGCAAGAAACTGTTGATTGTTCTAGCGCTGTGGTAGGTAACATTATCTTGATTGAGGTAGAATCATGTTGCTGTACGTAAGTTGTGTCGTGCGGGGCAAGTCTATAAATGTCATTCTGATACCTCCCTGCTGTAAGACAATCGTTAAATTAATACGAATAACCTGAGTTTTCGTGTGCATCAATACTACTGCTCACGCCATGATAGTTCCAACTCCACCAAACTTGCCCATCTCCTCAAAACAGACAGCACTATATGACATTCTCCTCGCCAGCAAAACACTTTTCTTCTACTAACTGGACTCCGTAACTTAATTAACTTTTGTCTCGTTAACGAAGAGTATTTCCAGTCAGCTCTGGTAAATTCGTGCCCAGACAAGGGTTGTTCGATTTTTTTTGGTCAGCACTAAACCTCTCTTGAACGTCTGGCACGTAATTGTACCTCCATAAGTCGCTTGTGGTCCGTTTTTGGTGATGTCGGACAGCCATGGGGTCCCATTCGTTTGTCTTGCCGTTAAGATGGCTGATTTCCGACTATCTTTCAAATGGTTAAGAACGATGTAGCGATCTCCTGGTTGTGACACGAGAACTGGGCCTGATTATATATATATATATATATATATATATATATATATATATATATATATATATATATATATATATATATATATATATATATATATATATATATATATATATATATATATATATATAAAACGAAGAAAACGAAAAGTGACCAATCTCAAAAATTGTAGAATAATCAGAAAAAGTAAAAGTTATTACATTTTTTAAATTAAAAATAACATTTTCTGTATTCAAGAGGAAATAAGACTGCTTCCCACACACCGTTGTTTGTTTGAATCTTTTCGGAAATTCAAGAGATCCTGTCTCCCGTCACCTATATATATATATATTAAATCCAAGATAAACAAACAAGTTCACATTTAATTTGTAATGTGAACTTGTTTGTTTTACTTGGATTTAATTTTAATTTATAACCCGCCTATACCATGGACTTTAACTACAATTTCACTCTCTCTCGTTCTCTCTCTCTCCCTCTCTCTCTCTCTCGCTTTCTTTATATATATATATATATATTAGGGATGGCAATTTGCAATCGGTTAACCGGTTACTCGGTCGGAACGATGGTAATCGGTTAGAAAATCTGTAATCGGTTAGTCGGGAAAAAATTAAAATAGGTGAAAATTTTCTTAAAACACGATTTACAATGTTAAAAAAAACCTTGAATATTGATAAGTTATAACGTTTCCATATTTAATTCGGCTGATTTGGAGGTAAATAATTTAATTAAGACTCTTAATATTGAATTTGTTGGGGGTAATTGGTCACTTTGCGAAGTGTTAATTGCTGTTTAAATACCATGTCGTTACCCAGCCTGTCTTAATTATGATATCAATTAAATCTTTGTTGAGTTCTGTTAAATGATTTAAATGATTGCAATGTGTATCATACCCCCGTCTATCCTTCGCAGTTATCTATCAAATTATATTTTCAAACAAACATTGTAAATTATTTCAGTTTCTGTTTATGGTGACAATGCACAATGACCTTGTGTTGTAACAATATCAATTTCTGCGATATTTAAGAGATATTTCATGGTTTCCTTATTTTTTTCTTGCCGTTCGAAATTGAAATAAAATATAATATATAGTACTAATCAAGCATTAACGCCTTTTTCAGTTTTCTTGTATATATAACTAGAGTTTACTCGAAAAATAAAATATAAGGAAAATGTGTATTTTGATACGATTAACCGATTAATCAGTCAGAACGTCTTTCGGTTAACCGATTAGCAATTCTGTATTCGATTGCCATCCCTAATATATATATATATATATATATATATATATATATATATATATATATATATATATATATATATATATATATATATATATATATATATATATATATATATATATATATATATATAAACACTAACAAATGCAGTTCAGTACGGAAGCTCATACAGAGACACTTGTTCTGACTTATTTCGATTGCTGGAACTCCCTGTTCAAAATACATTCTCGTTAATTAAATATATTTTCTTCATGTTAAGCTAAGTGATCATTATATATGCATCAACAAATGTATCATCGTTTTTGATAATTTCAATACATTTTAGGGATTCAAGTTCACTTCTCAGACAATTTTTAGAGGTATCATTTTTTTTCTGATTACTTACCAGTATTCAGGATTTTCCTATTTCATTGTTTTATTTGAAAAAAAAAATATGCAAAAGAAATCGGTATTAAAATAATTCCCGTCATTTTTTAAAAATCTATGTACGATCCACACAAGAAATTCTGTAAGATCTAGCTTTCTTTCCCATTTTCAATGGCCACTCTTTACTGCATTAAACTGTTGACTGATGGGATAATGCCCAATTTCACAGTGAATAAAATCATAGGCGTTTGCAAGATTACGTAATTAAGAGAAATACGTAGAAACACTGTGTACACGACTCATGAGAGGAGATTTATGGCACGTTAAGTACAAAAATTAAAGAAAACGCGAAGATAATGAACAGTGAAAAAACAAAATTGATGTTCGTTTCTACATTGATTTTCTACTTAAGCACTTTAACGAACATTATTCTATCCATCTGTTCAAGCAACATTCATTGTGAAGTTACTTGTCTTTGTCATTTACACTTGAAATGCAAGAAGTTCGTAATGATACAGAAAACAACTGAAAATCGAATGACTTTTTTTTCAATAAATGTATGATCAAAATTCTTATAGTCTGATGTATATGTATGGATTTGTGTGGTTTCATATTATTTGCTAAATAAAGCATATACAGAATATTTATTATATACAACATGTATCAATTAACAACACACTAATGTAAGGTCTCTGAATCTTTACTGTAACATTTAAATCCAATGCAGTCAATTATAATTTGTAACAAAGAATATAATAAAAATTACTAAAGATATAATTTATTGTTTTCTCAAATGGTAGAATTTAGCAGAATCGTAGACTTGACTTGCCACGGTGATCTTGATTGTCCGGACATTCTCTGGGCTGCCATTGCTGTTCCGGAACTATTTAGTGCTGTCCTTTCGTGTAAAATCCGTAGCGGAACATTAAAATGCCTCAGCATAGGGTATAGATACTTTTGATTTATAGAAAAAATATGTGTGATGTTGAATAATGCAAACTTTTTTGGGGGAAACAAGTAATTATACTAGTACATGTATTTGAATATGGTAAAAAAATGTACATTTAACGTGGGCCATTTGAAAAACAGATTTACTTAATATTGTCCCAATTTTGTTGGAGTACGCCTCTTTTTTATTTAAAGCGATATTTTATTAGATTTTTTTAGAATATTGAACTGGAATACTTTCATTAAGGGTTACCGACCCTCTGATAAGAGAAATAACTTCCCAAGTAAATAATCTGAAATTGCTCATAGCTTGTCATATATAACAGAGTGCACAGTAGTAGTAGTGGAGACCTTTGAATAGTCAATTCCAGCAAAACCACCACAGAACGGAAACGTTGACTTTTATTAGTTATATTTTCTTTTGATTATATTTGACCTAAAACAATTTACATCCAATTTTTTTTTTACTCCAACAAACTGAAACAGTTGTATCTTGTTTTGAAGGATTTTAGAACTGCAATAATGCATCATGTACAATTATTAGTGGTACATTTTTTTTCTAGTAAAAAAAGATTTAAGGTGAAATATCCCTCTGCTCCAAATTTCACCATTTTTTTTTTAATTCCCAACATTGATTTTATCAACAACAATAGCATTACATTCAAATGGAAAATAGTTTGAAGTATGAAGCGTTGCTTACTTTTTCAGAAATGAATATTATGTCTAATCATGATATGAAGAAAATTTGATATGGTGAATAGAAAGATCAATAATTTTTATCTCACCATAAAAATAAAAATATGAGGTATATTTGAAAAAAATATTTACTATCATACCAATCTAATTCACATTAGAAAACATAATGAAGCTTTGCTTTTTAAATCAGAATTTTACATTGTTTTCTATGCTTGTAAAATAAAAATGCATCCATCTACAGGAGTTATCGTTATTCAAAATATTTTTTTAG